AAAAAAAAAAAAAAAAAAAAGAGCTGTCAAAGTGAAAATATGAGAAACAAATATTGCAGGAGTACATTTCATCATCAGCGGAGGCCAAGGCAATCACCTGTTTATGTGTAGATGTATAGGCAACCAAAGAGGGAGAAACGAAGTGTCTGAGGTAAGAATGAAATCCAGAGCACAGAGTCAGGCATGAGGAAAAAAATCCTAGAAAATCACTGAAAAGTAAGGAACTAGAAGAGGAAATGACCACCCAATGCTTAGGAAAGCCCCTTCACGGTGAAGCAGCAGGACAGGGGCAGGCCCAGTCCAGGAGCAGTACATTCCCCCTGGCCGCCAGTCAGGCAGAGACAAGGGCCAGCTCATTACCGACGCAGTGGCGGCTGTCCACGTCCAGGTCAAAGCCAAGTCGGCATTTGCAGCGGTAACCCAGACCATCGTTATCTGTTCTGTGGCTGAGGATGCAGACCTGTTCACAGCCACCATTGTCATCTCCACATGGGTTGTTAACTGGAGGAAAGCACACACAGGATAAAATCTCAATAGAAATGTGGAATTATCCAAGACAGGTGAAACCGCTTTGAGCCTTCTAGGTGAAATTGAATAATGGCTTTGAAATTCCTTGAAGACATCAGTACCCATGGCTGCTATATATGTATATATCCAATTTAGCTGTACTGGCCTTCCAAATTTCAAACTGGTGGTGGTAAAACAGAAAAAAAAAAACAACCAGGATTCCCACAACTGGATAACTTGGGGATTCTTTTTCCCCAGTAATTATCTCAGACTCTGCTAGCTTCAGTGATTAGAAAAAGACTGTGCCCCCAATAAAAGATTTAGTGCAATTTTGACCATTCGCATGATGTGATGAACAACCATAATGCTGGATGCTTACTTTCTAAGTAAACCAACTTATGATAAATGACTCTGCTCACCCAGTTCCGCATCTGTCTCTGCGGCCTTACCACAGCACTCTTTCTTTCCACTCTGTATGTGTGTGTGTAGTAGTTTCTCATGTCCTTCTTTGAACCAACTTTGTCATTTTGCTGGTCCCCTCATTAATGAGTTAAGTAAATCTTGATATATCCTTACTGTATAATTACAGGAGTCCTTTATAATTAATAGAAAATTATACAATGACTGAGGCCTCCCTATGCTTCCTCATGAATATTCCATCTTGAGGTAGTCTACTGAGCTTCTGTTTACATATCGAGCTTCTGTTTACATCCTTAAGTAGAGATAATCACATCCAACTACCTGAGCTAAAGTACTCTCTCTCATCCATATAATAATATCCACTGGACAAAGTTTTGTAATCACTTAAGTTAAAAGATGAAACACGTAACGCATAAGTAAAGTACCATATGACTGTTGGTTATGGTTCTTGACAAAATCTAAACCTTAGGTACTAAAGCATAGGAAGAATTCCTATTATGTATGAAAAATATAATAAAATAAAATAAATGACTCTAAGAGGTAAGTATCATTATCCCAATTTTACAGAAGAGGAAACCACAGCTCCAGAAGTTTAACAACTTGCCCAAGAGTATCAGCAGCTAAATAGCTAACTAAAATTCACATCCAGATCTGATCTAAGACCTTTCCTGTCTGCAACACAAACCAGTTTATACTTCCAAAAACCACTCTCAAAGCAGTGACATCTGGAGGCGTACTGTACACAAGGCTGTTACAGCTAAAAATGTTTTATTTTTTTATGATATTGTCTTCTTACCTTTCACTTAGTCTTTAAGATAAAGAATACTTTTACCCTATCAGGTGGGTTGATTTGGGGAGCCAACAGACAGACATTCTGAGGTGAATAAGAGAAATTACTTGAATGACAAAATTGGGTGATATTTTTGGTCAAGGGTGAGATGTGAATTTAGTAGCACGTGAACTGGCTATTCCAAGTAAAGATTTCAAAAAAGTTTTCAGATATATTGCACATTTCCAAGTAAAGTGTGGGTCTCCAGGGTGACCACACTGAAGGAAATCTGCCTGAATGTATCAGTTCCAGTGGGTGGTCGCTTTTTTCTTCTCAGTCAACCTAGTTAACTTACAGTCTTTCTGCATCCTGAAGTCAGACCCATTACTTTAAGAGTTTTAAAGTAAAATCTATCTTTCTCTGAATTACTGTTCACTGGTATTAAGCTTTCTACCAACACAGTCTAGTTTATTATATTTCTTTTTTTTTTTGGTGCACAGGCAAATACAGAAAAGAGCCACATGCAGTCCAGGTAGTCATGTCAATTTAAAACCTTGAAACACAAACAAAACTTACTGTAAAATAACTGAAAACTAAACAGTGTCCCAATTGAAACATTTCTTTCCTTTGTAAGTGACCACCCCAAGAGACATCAAACCCACTTGGCCTATGACAGACCCAATGTAAAACAAATAAAAGGTGTCACACATACACAACACAACAGAGAAGAAAGAAAAAGGGACTCTGATGCTATCTAAAAAGAGCACTTCTTCTGCCTTCAGTTTCTTCAACTGTGACATTAGAGGGTCAAATCAGGAGATTTCTCTCAGTAGAATGAGGATAAGTATTTTGCTTTGGTTTGCTTGCTGATCTAACCCCACCATCTAGACAGGAACCGGCACCTAGCAAGTGCCAATATCTGTTAAATACATCTCTACATTCCCTGTAATTTGACATTTTAACTGTAAAATACATTAATTTTTCCAGAATGTCTATGATTTGCAGAGCCCATGTCAGAGGGTTTACTATCTAGATAACCCATCATATATTTGAAAACACCACCCAAATCTCATGAGAACCCTTATCATTAATCTCCATAACTAAGAAAACCTTTTTACCAAGGCCAGTGCCAAGGATGATTTCCATTATTCTGGGACATACCATAGGGCTGCCTGAGAGAATGATAAACAGCCACTCCAAAGGGCCTCAGGGAAGACTGGTAGTACACTTCTGGGCTGGTCTCCTTGAACTTGTTTGCCTTCATTACTGCCATCTTTGTCCAATCAGTAAAGAATATGTGATTTTCAAACAAGCTTATTCCAAAGGGATGAGGAATAAGTGAGCCTCCATGAATTACTGTCTTCCTGTTATAAAAGACATGTATAATTTTTTTAAATTAAAAAAAGACATGTATTATATAACTTTTTTGTTTTGCTTTATTTTGATTAGATGTAGAATTAGTTCAAATAAATGCCTAAGAAGCTACCTAATTTAATGTTAAAAATACAGAATATATAGAAAAATAGATTTTAAGATACAGGCATATTTCCATCTACATATGATAGGAGAGCTTTCATATTATCTCTTGGAAAAGACCCTAGAAACTGAAATTCTAGTTCCAGTCCAACTTATTTTACATTTTTCTGAGAAATTACCATTTTCTCACCTGCTCTTCATTCTTTTAAGGTTACTCCACATATAAAAGGGCTAAGATATGAAGCAGCACTTTGAAACCATAAGAGTGTGACAAGCAATTGGAAGTCTGGTAGAAGATACCTTCAACACTTACTGCAAACTGCACCACTAACCACTTCTCAGGACAGCGAATGTTAGAGCTCAACCCACAGGAAGCATACAGACCTATTCCTGATGTCATTCTCAAGAGAACCAAAATCCGAGCTACCACTGTTATACTTCTATTGGATTAAATTGTCAGCTAATCATACCTGGGGAAGCACAAAGTCTCCAGAGCTGCTTAAAAAGAGGGAAACAAGTGAAAGGTGTGAGGATCGCAGAAGAAATCAACAGTTCTGCCAACACTACATTTACACAAACAGTTCAATTGGGCCAACATAGAGTGAGGTAGAAGATGGTTCATGGGGAAAACCTCTTGTATTTTTTTCTGTTAGCATAATAGAAAGATCTTAAAGAAAAATCCTACCAGCCCCTGAAAACTCATAAGCACAATAGAGCTCTAAGAAAAAACTTGAAGATACTATGGCTGAGAAACACACTAAAAGTAAAAAAAACAAATCTAAGAGGCAAGTTGATGCACACTTTGAAACACTCGACAATGACATGGTATGTTAAGATTAGAGAATGGTTTTCTTTTTCAGTTAGCAAATTCCAGAACCCTGAATGCCACCTACTAGCAAAATTAGAGGCAGTGACTTTATGATTTCAGCTTACTCATGAGCTTTAATGTCTCTTTGATGTTTCTTCATAGCCAAACCACTCAAATCTTTCTGAACATTCATTTTTACCCTTTATGTTCTATTTCAACCTTAGCACAAAAATATTTAGACTATACAACATAATGTTGAAACACCCATTGAAAAGAAAAAAAGGCAAGTTTTCAAATGTTTTATATGATTTGTTGGGTTGACTGGTATTTTTTTCATTACATTAATTCATATTTTCACTATGAAAAACAGCTTCAGAGATAAGAAGTCACTGTCTTAATAGTCAATCCCTTCATTTAACCAAGTAGAGATTGTTCTAAGAATATAAAATCCAGGGACAAACTGTGATACCATCCTTAGAAAATAGAGATAAAAGAGGAAAAAAGAAACTATAACATTCCTTTCATTGAGAAAACAATAAAATCAAGTCATTTGGAAAAATTAAATGGCCAGCTTATTTGCTGAATCCACAAAGAGTAATTTTTGTTTGTCAAAATTTGAAGACCATGTTTTAACCAATTTTTGAAAATACAAAAATGAAAGGATCTAAAATAAGTTAACAATTTAACTAACTTAGAGTTAGCTCTAATCAGGCTATGAAGACGGAGAAAAAAGAGTGTGCCATATTCTATATTCAAATATTGTGTTTAAGTACTTTTGAAGTGTATCAGGTAAAAACACAAGTCAGAATTTCTCTTTGAAATTTTAAATATATATATAAGGGCAGAATAAAATCCAACTAATTCACACCAGATAGTGTTAAATAAATGCTAAAATTTGTGTATTTACTGGGGGAAAATTAGCTAAAAGATAAAGATGATTTTTGGAAACAAACTGTAAGAGACCCAGAGAATAAACAGACTCGCGAGTTAATGAAAATAATGCCCGTCATCTGGGAGTGGGAAAGAGACTGGAGAGGAAAAATCAAATAACAAATATTCTAGATAATATTAAATGAATGTTATTATGGAATGCAAGAAAAGTGAATAAAACTCAGAGCATGTCACTTCATGCAAATGTCATCACAAAAGTCATTCAAGTTATAATATCAACCAACAAAGCAATATTTTAATTTTGGCCTTTCAGTATCCCTTTCCATAAATTTCATGTACTTTTGCCCAAAAAAGCTATAAAAAAAACACTTCTTACCTTTGAATTCCATCATAAGTTACAGTCTCAATGTAATTAAAACGGCAGTCAACCCAGTAAACACGCTTTGATACCATGTCGAGAGTTATCCCAGCGGGCCATCCCAGCTTTGTTTTTACCAACTCCTTACGGTTGGTGCCATCCATGAAAGCCCTTTCCACCTTAGGTTCCCCAGAAAGGCTCCTCCAATCTGAGAAAAATAAATAACTATAAAAGAAAAACAAAGTCAGTTATTTTACAAGTTTACCTGGAAAACATTTAGATTATGTGTTTGGATCAATGGACATTTCCTCCAGCTGATCAGAGAACAATAGGGGTACAAACAAGAGAGAAATAAAAAAGCATTAAAAATCAGAGGCTATGAGGGCCAATCAGGAGAGTCAACAACTCCAAACAGCAACTGTTAAAATGCTGAGATGACAGCCTAAAAATCCATAGCCACCTTCTTAATTTTCTCCCATGTTCCCCGGCTCTTTCACTTCTCCTTTTTACACTCAGGAAAACTTACAGATACATTTTAAAACAAGCTATCAAGCTATTTCCCTCCCTAATTCCCCATTCTAAAGCACAGTCTAGAGAACATATCCATCATTTTCATGAAAGGACAACTGATATCATCAAGTAGAAATGAATGATCACTGTTCACTAAACATTAAGTAGCCTTAAGTCTATCCAAGGGCCCTAAGACCCAGATGAAAAAACACGAGGAGAAAGCTAAGTTCCCTACAGCTGCTCTCAAGTGTGGAGATGAAGGAAATTTGAATTCATACCTAGAGAAAAGTAAGCATTATCAGTCTTTCTGGTTTGATACACACCAAACAATTGTAATGAGGTGTCAGCACTGTCATTTCAGGCCCAGCCTGTAACAAGTAAGCCCTAAAGGGAGAGCTCCAATCTTCTTTCCCCTCTTAATAATCTTTACAGCTAATTCATGTTAGTGATCATCTTAATAATGGTGAAACAAAAGTAATGCTTAGTTGTAACAGTAATTTTAGATTGAGTCAGAATACAAAGTCCAAAATTTCAGCCAGTCAAATGTAGCAAACACTAAATATAAAATTCATACCCAAAGACATCACGTATTTTTAGTACACCAGTTAGTGTACTCCTTTAAAGCATCTATGAATGCAGACATAAAATACATGTGGGTTCTAGAGTACAGAGCATAAAAGAAATTAAAATGAACCTTCAATTAATCCAGTGGATGTTTTATGTATAGGGGATGTTTTATGTATCACTTACCCAAGAGTTGGGTCCAGGGCAATTCCTCTAGGATGCCCTAAGTTTTCTGTTATAAGGATAACACGGTTGCTTCCATCCAAATTGACCACTTCTATGCGGTTGACCTTGGTCTCCACCAGATAAAGTTTATTATTAATCCAGTCCACAGCCAGATTTTCTGGATCATCAACAGAAACATTGAGAACTTCTTGGATATTTAAACCATTAATATCAACTGAAAAGACCTGAAAGAAAAATCAATATTTTTATACTTTCTAAGCATAACTAATTGTGGTGACCGTTTTCCTATATTCATTTAATGTATCTATCTATGTTGCACAAATCAGTCAACCTGACAAAAAAAAATTTCACTAGAGACTTGCTATTTTATTTTACATCATGGGTTACTGGGGGCAAAGGGTTTCTTTAAAAGTATGTGCAATGCAAATATAAAAAGCTGGGTTAAAAAAAAAGCCTGCATTTCTCATTCTCAGCTTTACTGGAAGTTTAAAGAATATGGATTTATTTGGTGGAGGAGGTGGTGGTGGTTTGTTCTGATTTTTAGCCGTAATCAAATCACAACTGCTAATAAAACAAATTCTCAATTTTTAGAAATTTTATGCAAGTTATCATTTAATTGAATTAGAACTATATTAATGGTACAAGGAAATGTAAGTAGAAATTAAATTCCATGACTCTTTAGTAGTCTCTAAAATTTGTCTTAAAAATCACCATTGCATTACTCAAAGTCAAAAATAAATCCATCACACTTTCCAAATAAGAGAGCATAATGAACTTTTGACTGTTAAACAAAATACTGTCAATATTTGTTACCCGATCCACAACTACAGTTCCATTTAGAAGATGGAGGTAAAATCTGATTTTTATCATCTAGGAAAGCAGAGTACTTTTTACATTTTAAATGACCAAGTTTCAAAATTGCTACCAAATATCTACCCAGTTTTGAAAGAATGTCTACTATTTCTTTTAATTAGGCTTTTGGACTCCTTTTTGAATAAAATTAAAAGTTGCTCAAGGCTAAACCATATAATAGACTGCTTTGTTTGATAGGTCATAAATGTAATAGTATAGCATGGAGAAGGTGCCAAGTAACATAAAATATCTCAAAGGCCTTTTTTGTTAGAAAACGAAGGAGTGTTCCTTCCTACTCCCCTAAAAACGAAAAGCTATCAACACTTTGTGCTTGGGGTTCTATCAGCTCCCAAGGTACACTCCTGAAATTCCTACTTACCTTATCTTGCACAGTGTCAGTCCAAAAGACTCTCTGTAGGCGATAGTGAAAGTCCACACCCACAGCCACTCCATGACTTTGAGACTCTACCAGCATCTCAAAGTTCCTTTCACCAATATCACCCATTAGCAAATCCTGGCCATTGGAGAAGATAATGGAGACCTGGTCAGCTAAATGTGAAGAAGGAAGCCATTATCACTCCAAGTGAACAAAGAAGACAGAGTAATTTACAACTGATGCTTTCTTCTTTTTCAAATATTTTCTTCTATGTTATCTTATGATTTTAAAGTAAGTTTCTACTCATTTTACAGATGGGCAAATTGAGACAAAGATGTTGAATGACATGTGCAAAATCACAGTAAATTAGGAACAGCCTGCCAAGAATTCAAGTGTCCTGACTGCTAGTCCAGCGCACTCTCAATGACACAGAGAGGAATAGCTCAGGCATTTTCAAGAAGCCTTAATGATACGAGCAGCTTACCCCATGTGAAACTTTAGGTTGTATGAAACACAGAACATGTTTTAAGGATTACTGAGAAATCACTATGAAAAATATGGCAATGATGGATCCAAACTTGCTTTACCTATATATTCATGGGCATGCAAAATGGCATATAAATAAGGCTTTTCACTGTAGTTTTGTTTATAATATCAAAGGATAAGAAATGATATAAAAGTCCATTAGTAGGGGACTAGTTAAATAAATTATGTACACCCAAAAAATGGAGTATTATGCCACTATTGAAGAAAGAATAATAATGAGATCTGTCTTGATATGCATTAGCAAGATGCAGAACTGTGTGTATAACTTTACTCCTATACATATAAAAACAGGGTTAATACCTATATTTCTGATCCTTTTTATTTATTTAACAATCTCTAGAATTGAAATAAACAGTGATTATGATGGGAAAGGGAAAGGGAAAACTGGGCAAAGGGGTACAGATTCGGGGGGGCATTTTACTATATATATTCTTTTTTTATATATATATCTTCCTATAAATTAAAAATTTTGAACATATGAATATATTATCCATTCAAAAACAAGTAATTGTTAAAAATCAGCTGTTCCAAAAAGTTAGTACACAGCAAATCAGGTATTTTTACACAAAAATAACTTGAATATGGAACCATTTATCCATCATGTGGGCAGATAAATGTAAGAAGGCCACCAAAGCCACTTCAAAGTTGAGAATGAAACAGTTGGAGAAAAGCAGCAAAATCAAAATCTTCTCATTCAGAAGTCCAAGGGAACAAAGCTGTTTTGGGGGGCCCATCTTTTTAAACAGATTGTCTCTTCAACTGATTCCAACAAAACACCCAGAGCAAAGGCATACACAGAAACTGTTACCCAAATTTAGCTTCCCTTTGAAACAGCCCTAAATTTTGCATAAGCAAAGCCAAAATTATTTCTATAGATATTTGTCAACCGTATTTGTGGTAGGTAATTAAAATTAAATATCTATGTAATTCAATGTAGGCATAAAATTTATTCCACAAAATTAAATGTGGTGGATAACATAAGAACCCAAAGGGAACAAGCAACCAATTTAAAAAACTATTAATAATGGTCATCATTAATGCACAGATTGGCCCCTAATAATCAAAGTATAAAATTAATGTGGACCCAGTCTCCCAACAGCTGAAGCTCATTGTGCTATCCGCATAAAGGCTGACATTTGTCGTCTGCTATGGAAAGAGGATATTTGTCAGAAGTTTACTAATCAAAATATGACAAATGTCCTTAATTTACTCACAGGAAGTATTAGCTTTGCAGTGCTTCTGATGCTCCAAGACATACCCTTCTGCACAGTGGCACTGGTGATGGCCAGTTCGGTCTTCACATATCTGGTCACAAATTCCCCATATCTGGCAATCATCAAAATCTGCCATATGGGAAATGAATGTTTGTAATCATATTTACTAGCATTTCTGGAGCACGAACGGGCGAAAATCTTAGACATGCTGTAGAGAAATATGGTGCTGCCCTGTCTAAATAAGCATCCTCTGGAGGGAGGTACAACACATTCTGGGCATATAATAAAAAGGTAGGAATTTAGACCAGGCATCTTCATACTGGGGAAATTTCCAGAAAATTTAAACAGTTTTTCTAAAATCTGCTTGAATTCACAGTCCTGTGGTATTACATTTCATTTCTTAATATTGGCTTACAAAATATCTGAATTCTGGTATACATGCTCCCCTTTAAGACTGTGCTTTCCAATATGGTAGCCACTAGCCCTCTGTGGCCTCTTAAACTTATATTTAGATTAATTAAATGGAAATAAAATTAGTTATTGAATTTCTCAGTCACACTTGACACCTCCTCAATAGCTACATTTTATTAGTGGTTACCATACTAGAGAGCACAAGTACAGAACATTTCCATCACTGCAGAAAGTTCCATCAGACAGTGCTACATCAGAATAAAGAAAGATTTGTCTTTTATCCAGACCCTCTAGAAGATACAAAATTAGGACTGCAGTAAAGTATCTGGAAAGGTCTATTTATCCAGCTGCCTTTCCCCTGATGCCAAAAAACATAACCAAAATTAAATTATTTTTAAGACAGGAAAAGTATCTTCCCTTCTACTTAGTCATTAAGTTATTATTCATTTGTTTAATAAGTGTTTATTGAAAGCCAATTACATGATAGAGCTCTGCTCACCGTTATAGTAATCCAAGTTCCACTGTGCAAAAAAGAAATTCAACATAATTGAAGATACACAATACAATATGCTGAGGGTAGGGAGAGAAAAACACAATATATAAAGAGCCTTTCTTAAAGGTTGTAAAGCCTGAAAGGTACAGAACTTGGCGTATCCTTGGTAGATTGGTGCCAAATATTTTGTTTTACCCTCCAAAGTCACATCCATGCTACACCCTCCTTCACCCTGCTCTCCTCCCTGGAGGACGACCTCCAAAGGCTGTAACCACAGGGTTTCCATGCCCTCAGGCTTCAGGAAATTCTCAAGTAAATCATAATTTCTGAAACCACTGTACTGTCAGGCCTAGAATACTCTGCACATCTAGGATCTGATGACCTTTGCAGCAAATGTCAGAGTGGTTAACTGGGTCCTGCTGAATGGCCACCATCTCATACTCCCAAGCTACAAAGCCCAAGAAAGTCCTGGGATCAAGCTAATGGTTCCAGTTTTCCCTCCAGATCAGATATAACAACAGAAGCCAACATTTCTTTCTTTCCAAGGACTGCAACTAACCAATAAAAAATTAACCCAGTTTGGACACGACCAGGTAAAAGGACATGAGGGCATAAATAACAGGCCCACATCGATCTCCCTTCCTGTGCCCTTGCCTCAGTCCTGCGGAAGCACCACCTACAGCTTTGCTTCCATGGCAGTGAAAGTACAGGACGTTCACCCTCAGCCCCGAGAATGTCATGACCTCGTTTTGAATGCAAGACGGATGAGAAGGTGTGTCTGGAGTCACCCTGAGGTGTGAGCTCGGATGCCAACAGAAGGAGTCCAAAGAGAAGAAGACGTGCTAGGGATTTTTGAGTGCAAATGCCCTTCTTATCACCTGGACCACCAGTCCTTTAAAGGCTTGAATGAATGTATAAAATCACTCACTTGTACTGACTAAATAAGAATATATACTCCATTGTGGACAAAAATAAAGGCTAATAATTATTCATCATCAGCCAAACTGAAAACAAGAAAAATGAAAGAAGACTTAAGGCTTTTCATGAGAGTAACTTAAGCAGTGGAAGTTGTAAAGCACTGCTTTACAATACCCCTTCACCCACAACACCTTGATCTATTTCTCTTTCCTTTTTATTCTTTGTCCACTACTATCAACAAATATTGCTTTGAAAATAATTCAGAAGACTTTTTTAGCCAAGACCCCCTTGGACACCCTCTGATCCATCTGGCTGTGTGAAACCCCACAATGCTGAATGACCTTCCTGCCCTAACTGGGTACCACAATGTCATTGTGTCAACAAACAGCATGTCCTGTCGATCAGAAACGATAACCCCGGCAAACTGCTGCAGCATGCCTCAGAGGTTCCACAGCCAGGTCAGGATGACCATGGGCAGTTGAACGGTAGAAAGACACAAGATTTCAAGTCAGGATTATTCAATTTTATTCTTGATTACCACTGAGGCATTTACAGGAGAACCATGTCTAAGATGATAAATGGTGCATAGATTCCCAACACCTGAAGCCTCTGTAATGAGTCAGCCATGCAGAGGATTACAGCCATACAGAGAGATTTGTTGAACTGAAATGCTTGAAAGAGCAAACCAAAACAATTCCCCTAAAATCTCAACTGAAACAAGTGTAACTGGTTTCATAATGTCATATATTGAAACTAATGAGTTCTCTTTACAAAGACAGCAAACATATTCTTCTTTGAAATAAATCTGAATCTACTTTCAGAACTCAGGGGCCAAGGATACGTCTTGAATGACAGGGAAGGTCACAGAAAAGGTCTCTGCAGGTGGCAGGGAGCCTCCCATTCACAGAGGCCCCCAAATGTAGACTTTTAAACTTATCTTCAGATGAGGTTATCTGTACTGAAATCCCAGACATATACTAAAGGGACTGAAAGATGTTCTTTACAGAACTTATAACTAGTGCCCCAATATCAGACCATGCCACTTCCAAAGTGCTATGAACTAAGTGTGTTCTACAAATCCTAAAATTAATGTATGTGCAACATAATATAGGAAATTGCAATTTTAGGTAACAACATAGTTACTTAAGAGGAGCAATCAGATCATGAGCAAACTTTGGGGCATGGTCCTGATAATAGGAACCTAAAATTACCTATTTTGAATACTACAAGGACAGCCTCAATTGGATTGCTTTACCAGATATAAAATTCCTGCTTTTCTTGGCATTATCACAGGTAAATGAGCCCCATTATTATAGTTCCCATAACACTGAGGATCAGGCTTTCTCAAGAGTTCCATATTTAATTTGTAAAGCAGAGTTTACTTCTGCCATTAAAAGTTTTTCTAGCTATGAGTAGTTCATTGAGATCAATCCTATTTGGTAAAGTATAATTCAGCTGGAAGCCATAAGCTAAATAATTTCAGTAGGTTTATCCAAATTCAACATTTTTGGCTAAATATTAATATTTTAGAAATTATTTCAGCAGAAACACTTTTGTAAAAATATTTTCTATGAATGCCATATTTGTATTATCTAAAAAGCTCTGAAGACTCTCAAATTTTTAAGTAATACCCAAAGAACACAAATAATTTGGGAAAATTCTGAACCTTTTAGAAATCCTTTAGAAAGCTTTTATAATTCCACAGATGACTACCAAGCTTAATTCTAATGAGTTATTTTAGTTGCCTTCCAGGTGCCTTTTCCCAACAACAGTAAGAACAAGTTTTAAAACCTCGGTTGTCCCTTTCTGCTAATATGTTTGTTGTTCATATATCTAAAATCAGAACATTAAAAATTCATTACTTATACCCTAGAAAACTAAAAATTGATGATACTTGGCAAAGTGTAATTCTCCCATTATAAGACCCTGTTTCAATCACAGTGGGATGCAAAGCTGGCCCACATCAGAATCAAAACTTTCCCATTGGGAAAATCATTGTTATCATCCATGTAAGAGAGGTCTATCAAGTACTCGGTGCACTGTTGTCTAGCTCAATGCCAGCCACCAGTTGGAAGCAACATGAGAGTTTGTCCTTGAATGTTAGCTTCAAGAAGAGGTGAAAATCACTAGGACCAACAACCAGCACAGCATGAGCACTGACTGGCTGGTACGGCTGGCAGAGCAGTGACCCAGTGATCCTCTGCTGGGTCAGGTGGCCACTCTTTTGCTGCTGAATCCTAGGGAGGTTTAAGTGTCCTGGAGAAGGGGCCAGAGGAGCACAAGAGTGTACTTGATGGCTCAAGGCAGCAGCTACTGACCAACAGCGTGGAAGTATTTAAATATTTAACAACCAGTATGGCCATACCAACCCTGCTTCCAAATACTTAAAACGAAAACACAGAAAGAATTCTTCCAGCATCAAGTAGCTGATAAGTATCCATGCAGCTAATCAACTCACTTAAAACAGAACCACTCTTTTGCCTTGTGTACCTCATAAAAGCTTCTCAGGATTAAAACTTCAAATTCCCAGGTTTTCTGGGAGGTTTGTTGCTGTTCGTTATACAGGCCATCACTTCTAACTGAACCCCATGGTGTCTGAGGTCATAGAGCCCATGTGGTTCAAGACTGTGAGGAGAGGCCAAGCACCCCAACCTGTCACTTACCAACACATCTACGGGTATTATTTTGGTTGACGATGAAACCTGGGGGACAATAACACTCCCCTCCAGTTGGTGACATGTGGCATTTGTAGTCACAGCCCAAGAAAGGACAGAAAGTCACATCTAAACAGAGAGAAACACTTCATTAAATGAATGGTGACCTCTGGACAAAAGTGACTGTACCCATGAAGAGCCAATTTCTCAAAAGTAAAACCTAAGGAAGCATGTAGGAGAAGCACAGAAAATCTGTCACCATTCAAGCCTTACTGCAAAATTATGCAATAACATTTTTAGTGTCATTCTCAGTCCAGTCACTAGCTTTAAGTGATGAATTTCAGGTGATGTTATTTTTTTTTGTTAATCTTTATATTCTAATTTTTGTACCATGACTCTGTCTTATTAATTTTTGAAGTATTTTTAAAAGGGCTCCCAAATGACATGGGGATGGGGGGAGAGGGTGGAAGCCATAGCAGTCTCTGTATACTTAAATATTACATGTATTTTCAGGAAAAAAAAGAACCTTAGGGTTACAGTTATGTGGCCACTTCTAGGCAATTACTAGACAATTTAGGAAGTATATTATTGATGAAATCAAGGTCATAAATTGTATTCCCTTACAGTTCAGCCGGCTGTCCCCAGAGTTGATGGATTGATGAAGAAAGAGAAAAAGGGGGAAAATCTAATTCAATATATATATCCCAGGAACCAGAAGCTTCTTTTTAATATAGCCAGACAAGGGTCTTTCCATAAGTATAAGCCAGAGAATTAAGTATCCAAAACACCTTTAGAGTCATCAAAACTGTAATTAAAACCATTCTGCCTGGCTGAAGGGTAAAAAAACGTCATAAATATTTTGAAACTCCTCCTGTCAAGAGATGGAATCTATTTCTTCAATCCACTGAATCTGGGCTTGGCAAACTAATTTGCTCTGACCAATAAGACACTTAGCAAAAATACATAGGCAGAGGCTTAAAAGAGTTTGTACACTAGGTTTTGCCCTTTCCACCACCACATAAACAACATGGACCAGCCTTTCACTGCAACACCCTGATATGTGAGGGAGTTGGTCTAGGCCAGTAGAACTACCTAGCCAACCCACAGAACTGAGAAATAATAAATATTTGTTTGTTTAAGCCACTAAACCTACAGATCATTTGTTGCACAAATGCCAAGTGTTACAGAGAAAAAAATCTTTATGTGAAAGCTACCCAGATAAATTTCCAAACTCACTACAATGTCGTCCTTCTGTGACACTGGTTTCATCTCCTCCTTCTAGACAATCTGCAATCCCATCACAAACTTTTATAATTGGGATGCATTCTCCAGACTTTGGACAAGCCCATTCATTTGGGTAACATTCATCAGTATGATGAGGATGGCTTTCTGTGGGGAAAAAAAGAGAAGCCACATGAGAGGTGGATACAGGTTTCTGTCAATCCACACTTAAGGCAGGTAGACAAGAGAAGTCTATAAATGACCTATATTTTATAATAACTCTACTACTGCCCTTTTATTGAGACTCTAAGGAGTGGCAAATAGAATTACTTAAATTCCACTCTTTCTTGGGGAAGTAGCCCCCAGCCTGGTCATCAGAATAAAAAGCAGACAAGGGCCCAATTATCAGGAAACTAGATGAATAACCACTAGGAGAAGATTCATTTTTTTAAATCATGTATTATGGAACTAGGGTTATCAAAGCAATGCTAGGACTTCTGAGTTTTTATTTTGTTTTGGTTTTTGTCTTTTGGGGTAGTTTAATTTGTTTTGTTTCTTTAGTGAAAAGTTAACAGAGTAAGAAAACTGAACCCCAAATATAGGAGTACTAGTTCCTGAAACACCAGAACATGAAACCAGTGGATGTTCCCAGAACAAGCACCACTCTTCGGGTATCTGAGGCTAGAACAGTGCAGGCATCTTGCTCTATGATGTGGGCATTAGTAGCTTCTGAACTGATGATAGCAGCAGAGTGAAGGGGAGGAAGATCTTTGGCAATTTCTTTCTCATAGAATCCTTCCCTCGGCTGCAGCCTCTCCTGAAACTACCAATCCCTAGCACCAGCTCACATGTTCCCCACATAACCATTCTTCCATTACTGGATGTCAGTGACTCATATGGAAATCAGAATTTCAAAACAAAACATAACTGAACTGTTACTGAGGCTGAAAATCATTTTTTAAAAATAAAAGTACATACAATAAAATAAATCCTAGTGTACAGCTTGATTAATTTCCACATGTACGTACACTCATGTAACCATCACCCAGATCAAGGTATCCAACATTCTCACTAATTATCCCTCCCTTCACCTACTTCAGCCATCCTCCCAACACCCTCCCCTACAGCAACCACTCTGTTTCTCTAAGACAAACCACACTTCCCTCCTTCCACTGCCTAATTCTTTTATATAGTAAATCTAGTTAAAATAAGCAGTCTTAAACGGAAAAAGTTAGCATGGGCTATAGACAGGGGAGAGACTGACCTACCTATCTTGCTTTAATGATAGGTGGGAGGGGATTATAATGTACATTATTTTTGTGTTCTGGGTCTTTTTAGGAAAAGCTCAGAGTCATCTCCTCCCTCTTCTACTAAGTCCCTTAAAACCCAACCAATCCCAAGACTCGCTTATCACACAGATAATATCCAACAAGGAGAGTAGGAAAAACAAGTTCTGGAAAGCACTTTAATAAAATGCTTCTCAATCGATCTCTCACATCTCTCACATCAATCAATCTCCTTCTTACCACATCCGTCTTCATCTCCTTTATCTTCACAGTCATCCGCTCCATCACAAACCCAATTTTGATCAATGCAGTAGCCATTGGAGCATGTGAACTGGTTGCCTCTGCAAGTCGGATAGTCTGGAAGAAAACAACAGCTGCACTCTAAAGACACAGACCCCCTTGGGAAAAAGTGCTCCCCTTACTGCCTAAACTGAGCTCCTGGAAGCTGAAATCTCTATTTCAGTTTTGTCCTTAAGGACCTTGACAAAATGAAAAACAGGAGGAAGAGGAGGAGGAGGAGGACACAACAGAGGCTTCGGGTCCAGAAAATGAATGCAGGTGCCAGTCTGTCTCTCAGCATCACGAATCGTAGGCTGACCCAGAATAGAGAATGCAGATAGATAAAGAGGCCACAGGCCTGCCCACACCCAGCATCCTCTGATGTCAACCACAGGCACTGCAACTGCCGTTTAGGACTGAACCATCCTGAACCGCCCGTTCTGTCATGGCACATTCTCTTTAATATGATCACTGAAAGGAGCCCAGGTCTAGAGAGGAAATCAGGCATGGCTTATAGAAAATTAGGATAATACTAAAAATATTCAACAACCTGTAAGGCATAGGTACCAACCAATTACAATGGGTGTGAAGAAAAGTCATACATTCTAGTAAATAAATGACCACAAAAAGCTGCCAACTTATTGGAATTAGTAAAACTCTCTCATGGAGACTTCAAACTACATATTCCAATAAAATGGGTCCAGAGGTGGCAACAGTAAGAGAGAGGTGGTTTGCACTGCACAACAGATAAGGAAAACAGGACTAGAGTGCAAATGTGGGGGCAACAAAAGCCATCTGCACACCAACGCATTCCTGACCATCAAATTTTAATGTGGTAAGAATCTCAAGTAAAGAGGAGTTAGGACCATTGCTATTAAGGACCTTTCTCTCACTTCCAAGCCCTTTCTCTCACCGTTATCTGGGTTATCAGACTGATTCTTGAGGGATGGGTAATTCGAGAATCTAGATACAATATGCTCTGTACCTAGCCTAAAGGAGGAATGCAAATTGTCCATCAGCAACCCTTCAACTCTACAGATCCTTGGGAGATAAATGAGCCCAGGTCCAGCAGCACTGCTGAGGTTCATGCTGTGGGCCCTAAATGACCTTCTGGCTGTGTCTGCCATCAGACATAGTGACCCTTTGATTTGAGAAGAGTGGTACATGGGCAGATGGAAAAAACAACCACATCAGCATTTCTAACAGGACCTAGCATAAAGAAATCACCGTACTGCAAGCAAGCTCATCACTGCTGTCATCACAGTCAGAGTCATGGTCGCAGACGTAGTCACGGGGGATGCACACCTCATCGTCACACTGAAACTCATTATGTGAGCAGTGCTTAGCTGGAACACAAAATTAAGAAGGAAAAACATAGAGAATTTCAATTCTACTGTAGCCATTTACTCTCAAGAGTATTCTGTTTTAAGTTTAAAAAGAGATTCTTATTATGCAGTAATGTGCTGTAAATGTTTAACAACCATTCTCCAGGAACATAAAGGCCTGACTCGTAGTGTTTGCATTTCCACTGTGTGAGTACTCCCCACTATGGATCACTTCAAGCTGCCAACAGGAATCCACTGGATGAAAACTTGAGACAAGATGTCCATAATTGGCCAGTATGAACCAGTGTCAGCACACCACTGCACATCATATACATGTTACTTACTGCAGTTGGCTTCATCAGAAGAGTCTCTGCAATCAGTTTTCCCATCACATTTCTGAGTAGTGTTATAGCAGGCTCCACTGGCACAAGTAAGTTCTTCACATGTTGGATACTCTAGAAGAATGGAAACAGCACACAAACCTTAAATTAAGACATTCCTTCATCAAACATTTCCTGAGTGACTACTACATGCTAGACACTAAATGCTCAGTATGTATTGGTAAACAAAAGAAACATGGTCCCTGGTTTCATGGAGGTTACAGCTGATTAGGGGAAAACAGACATAAATCAAATAATGACACAAACAGTAAATTACAAACTGGGCTATGAGCTAACGTGGGAAGTACAGAGGGTTGCGAGTATGCATAGTAAGGTCGGGCGCCTGGGTCGGGGGTTGGGAGAACGGGAAGAAGGAATTTAATTTATTTCAAAATGGAACCTACTTTTAGTACAAATAACATCTCAGGAAAATAATGTACCACCACACATTCTTTGGGAAATGAAGGGCCATTTCTTTTGCTGGAGGGTTGTAAAAAGAAAACAGGTCTGAAGTCAGGAGACCTGGGACCTGGGGCACCACTCAGCAGTTTCTCTTCTCCAAGGAGCTCATCCTCTGTGTCACCACCTCCTTATCCATACATTTGGACGATTTACTTTACAGGGTAGAGGAACCACAAAAGACAACGTCCATGAAAACATAATGTGCTCTACAGCAGAAATAATTGTTAGCGCATAACGCACCTACAATCACCTCCTTGCTATTAACCAGATGCTTAACCCTAGTTTTCTCCGTCACAGCAAAAAAACCAGGATGTGCCTTGAAGGACTAACACGCTCTCAGGGCCCCACGACCACGCTTCCCCAGACCTGGAGCAGGCTCCTCTCCCGGCTCCTCATTGCGGCTCCCCGGGATTCTGGTGAGACACTTGGACGGACATCAGAGAGCCAGCTTTACTCATTGTAGAATCCCCAACCCTTAGTCACAGGAGCTCAGTCATTACTCCCCGTGCCGGAGAAGAGCTCAGTACTGCTGTTGAGTTATCACAGGCAGACTCTGTAGTTAAAAAGCTTTTATATGTATTTTAAACAGCTGCATTTTATGGTCTCTTAATACTCTCCTCACAACTATGCTATTTTTCTTGGTATGACTATTATTTTTCCTTAAAGTTCATATTCATAGTGATTATTAGATTATCTCTGGATTTCTTTTTAACTAAGGAAAAGGCAGGTCCAGGATCTCAAAGACCAGACAGCGCAGCCCCACCTTGAGCCCCAATTTTGCATTTAGGAATCCGATTTAAGTTTACAGATATAGACAGATACCTCAAATGCCTCCTTGGATAGTCCCAAAGCCTCCTCCAAACAGGAGCAGTGCACAAAATTTTGTGCTGAAAGTATATTAAACTTGTCCATGTTTACAACTCACACTTTAAGAAATGGGCTCTCAAATTATCTTTTTTCATCGCTTCTGTAGTGAAGGAATATGCCCAAATATTCTTATCTCTAGAAGTTCAAAACTAGTCTATTAAGTGTCTTTAAGTACCTAAACTGCCGAAGTTACATATAGTCAGGCATATATTAAAATGGAAGGCATTTTTAAATAATTGATTAGAAACTTTGATTGTTCTGAAGTTTATTTTTTAATAGTCCAAGATCAGACTTAGAGTCATTGCCATCTTTTCATCACTGAGATGGTATGCACTACAAATGTGCCATCAAAGGGCCACACAACTCTGTTTTATTAATTCTCTCTTCAAGAGATACAAGAGGCCAGCTGACTCCAGTAAGCCATCCCCTTCCCCTGTGAGCCAGAGAGCTCCTAGAGTGAGTATGTTATCCAGACTTTGAAGAAAAGCACCAAGAGAAAAGTCTTAGAAAACCCAGCTATTTGCAATAGATAAGCTATGTGAGGAGGAAAATTTATTTGGGCTTAGACTGTGACTACCTCATTGAAAGCAGCAGTTGTAGATAAGAGGGATCTGGGACAAATATGCTGGGCAAATCTCTTGTTCTCCCCATCCTGCTTTTTCAGAACCTCATGCCATAAAACTAAGAAAGGAAGAACTAAAATAGTATCTACTGACATGACTAAAAGTTTACTAACATAGCTTATTCCCCACAACCAACAACCAGGCCAGCTTGATGTCATCAGGGAGAGTATTGGAATGGCCAGAGGTCAGCAGTTTAACATTCAGAATAAAGAATGAACAGCTTTCTTGTCCCTATCCATGCTGATATTGAGTCTCTCTCTCATTCAGCAGAGGACCTTCCTCAAACTCTGAACACATTCTGGTCTCTTCCGTGCATTGTTAACTGAAGGGGTATGTCCATAGGAAAGACTGCACAGAGCTACCTGATAGAAATACTTGGAAATCTATTTCCAAAAGTTTACCCCTCCTTGGAGACCCACAAAGGAGGAACTTTTTCCCATTGGAGAAAATCCATCATCATGTAGCTGAAATGTACTGCAGGTTCAGTTGTTCACACTGAGAAAGTAAAAAATGAGCACAGTCTACTTCCCTGAAAGACTTCTAGTGTTAAAGATATTAATTAACGAGTTTCAATCTATCCCAGGAAACAGGAAGTCACATGCTTTGAGACTGGAGGTATCTAAAATCTTCTTTTTTGGTTTATTTGCTTGGCAAGTCTGAATCTAACCTTGTAAACTTTTTCCCATTGGAGAAAATCCATCATGTAGCTGAAATGTACTACAGGATATTAAGTAAAGAGAAAGTGTATTAAAAGAGGAGACAATACACAAGAACACCAGAGAAACTCATCCTTCGAAGTTTTGTCTTATTGGAAAGATTGACAAGTAAATACTAACTAAGTCCCAAATCTCCAAAGTTTATCAGACACAAAAATGCAAGAACACACTTGCTCACACCACCTTTTCCTGCTCCCTTCCTTACTTTCTCCAAATTCCAGATGATACATATACAGGTTTATTCTTCCAAAATTGGGTGCTGCTCCCAAATATGCATATAATAATGCCTGAAGATTTTTTAAACATTTTCTCTGCTAATGATTTAGGTTAGAGCAAGAAATTTCCATGTTTTAGTTCTGTTTACATAATCAAGGAGGAAAATGTGATTGAGGACATCATAGACTTCACAGATTGGAAATCATTCACAGCAGAGGAAAATACAAATATTAGGCACTACTCTTCATTGTCTTGACAGGAAGCCTGTAAAAAATTCTATTCACAGAATTTGACAAAATGGCCATAAAGAACATAAAAAAGAAAACACATTGATAATAAATCAAAAGAAGGCATCTTAAAGGCAGATTATGAAATGTAAGTCTGCATTTAAAGAAAAACAAGAAGTTACTGATTGATATAAGTCCTGTCCAGACATCTGGGACTGTTCAAGGTCATAGAATCATCCTTTATAAATTACCCTACGTTATTCTATCCATGCAGGATAATCCAGGTAAGGTAATGATTTACCAGAAAAAGTTAACTAATTTGGTCACCAGTAGTTACTTCAAGTACTACCCACAAAGTTAAATAAGCAATAACAATAACAATCATCATAACAATAATAATAATTATTTTTGAACTCTATGCACCAGACCCTTGTCTAAGTACTCAATATGTATGAATTTATTTTATCCTTATAACAACCCTATGAAATAGATACTACTATTACTCCTATTTTATAGATTTTTTATTTTTTTTGTGTGTGTGTAAGTCAATTTTTAATTATTGAACTTTTTTTTTTTTTTGAGAGGGCAT